GTTACCATGGTTACCTATTGTGTCCATCTGTTTTAATTTACTCAATTTGTTCTGTGCATAAAGTCGTAATTGCTGTAATGTTTCAGAATGGTGTAAATTGGCTTTGACTCTATGATAATTCTCTGATAAATTCTCAGTTTAAAATTTGTTATTACGGTACAATGACCATAGGTCCTCATTCTCCCAGAGATGTCCTCTTTTTGGAACAAAAAATATTTGTCAGTCTATGATTTCTAAATCTCATAAAATGTTTGAGATTCAGCTTTTGCCTTCAGTCATCATTAATTGCATAATGGTTGAGCCATTATGTCCTGCCACTATTTTTGGGCTGAGCCGGGCCATGATCAAACATTGATTAGCCTAACTGGGTGGAGAGCTTTGCCATAATTAGACATATTATACAAATATTTGAGCAATGTCAGTGTAAGCAACATGTAGGTCTACAAAGTTGCACAATTTGCAGTCTTGTTGTGCATCTAGCTTCTGCGACAGCGTCTTCTCCACTGGCACACATAACACCGGGCATGCTAAAAAATATTATCAGACATTTTGTGAAAATGTCCTTCCTCTGTTAAACATCATTTGGGAAATATAAAAAAAAAAAAAAAAAATTCAAAGTGGGTTTAATAATTCTGATTTCAACTGTATGTGTCAACTTTTTGGAGTACATTAAGCGCTGCTAATTTATAATAACAACAAAATGGCATCTTCTACGATGAACAGACACATGAAGCAGGCTTCTGCTATGGCAGAAAGGATGATAGTCAGCCTTCGATGTCCTCTTTTGTTTCCTCTCCAAGCATACCCCTGAGAGAGATGCAAGCCCTCACTGAGAAATGTAGTTCAAACAACTCAGAACTGTAGTTGAGAATGTCTATCATATTAAAAATTGCCATGTTAAGCTCAAAATTACAGCTAACATGTTGGAGCGGGTTGGGCTCGAACACAAGGTGCAAGGGCTCGGGTAGGGTCGGGTTTAATTTTTAAGGCCCGATCTAAGCTCTAGTGTCAATCCCAACAACCAAGATAGAGCAGCAGCTTTTATCTGTCAGGTGACTCATGGCTCCACATTAAGATAAAAGTAAAATAGTGGATTCCTTTTTCTTTAACTGTTTGAAAAGAAAGGTGCTAAACGCTAAACATTTTTAACATTTATTCTGTTTCTTTTATTCTATTGTTGAGGGCCAAATGCCCAATGTAAAGGATGTTAATACTTCATGTATTAAAGTTCAGTGACATAGCTTTATGTTTGTGAACGCATTAGTCATTATTAAGAAGGATGTGTTCCAACCCAAGCTCATTCTGGAAACGTAGCCCCGCAGACGTTTCTGGAGACCGCGATTTACGTGGCCGGAGGTATGTAAAGGCCGCGTTTAGTTTTTTCGAGCGAACGCTGCAGGGCAGTGTGGCGCCGGCCGACGGCTCGCCTTCGAGTGGAGGGCTTTCCCAATGCAATCAGTCTGTCCGCTTAGCTCACAGCGTTGCGTCGGAGAAGCGGAGGCCCCGGAGGAGGAGCCGGCCGCGGTGGACGACGACCGGGATCGAGTCCGGGGAACAGCAGGTTCCGGAAATCAGGTAAGACGAAAAACGGAATCTGAAAAATAAGGGCGAGAACGTGGCGGGATCCGAAAACGCGGTCGAAATCGAAGACGAGGGCTTTTGCTTTTTTTTTTTTCTGGACGGCTTTTGCGAACCGTCGCTCGGGTTTAGGGAAGGAGAAGGAGGAGGAAGAGGAGGGCGGCCGAGTCGGCCGATCCGGCGGCTTTTCGCGCGAGAACGGCGCGGGCGCGAACGGCGCGCGCTCCCGAGGAGGCGCCCGAGACGCGGAAAAGCGCGCACAGCGGCCTCTCGCGGATCCGCGAAAACAAAAACCGCTCGAATACGTACCTCCCGGGACGTAAATCGCGGTCCGCAGAAACGTCCGTGGGGCTACGTTTCCACAATGAGCCCGGGTTGATGTGTTCAGTTAGACATTTTGTTCAGTTATTGCCATTATTAATAGTCATGGGACGATAACCGTTTTCAAGGTTTAACACAGTTTGGAAAAAGTCAAGGTTTTAAAACCACCAAAATGTTCTACTATTCCATACCTATGGTATGTGTAAGAATTTTTTATTTTTGTTTTTGGTTTGTTTGTTTTTTAGGACAGAACAAAGATAACAAAACAGTTATCTAAGGATGTCGTTTTAAATTGTAAAGAAATTTGTGTTTTGGAGCCTAATGAAGTCAGCAGAAGTCAATGATTCATTTTTTATAATTTTGCCTGACATGTTTACTGCACCAAAATATTACAAATGTTTCTCAACATAAAATATACTGTTTAAAGGGGAAAAAAGTTGTTTTTTAGCCAGATATTTAAAAAGAATATATTTTAGAGCAGTGAGCACAATACTGTGAAACTGTGATCTTTTTATCCAATGTTATCATATCGTCAGAATCTTATACTGGCCCATGCCTAATTATTACCTAAGGTTTTATTATGTATGTTTCTCTGAACCTATTATTTTTTTAAATGGTACAAATGTATATTTCCCCCCACTAGAAAAGTCATTCTTGTTTAGTCATTAATTCGCGAAGGGTGCCTAGCGATGACAGCAGTTATCTGATCAGTGAAGGAAACCCTTAAATCAGGATGGATATTCTGCTGGGAGATTCTTTTAAAGGCTTTTGTTTGTTTTCCCGCTGCATTGCGTGAGACTTGGGTTTCTCTAATCTCCACATTTCATCTTTCCCCCATCATGCCCAGAGACCATAACACAATAATCAGCAACCAGTGCAGATGCAAAGCAACAATTCACTCACTCTACAGCTGATCCCTGGTATACATATATATATATCTCACAATGCTTTCTGCTCTCTCAGCATGAGAGTCTTCTCTGGCCCCGTTTCCTCAGCATGGTGACACTCAGCAGGCAGATCAGCGAACACAACTCATCCTGTAACACACTTATCAGATCTGCTCCTCCATGCCATCCAGCTGAGAGCTACAATGATACATCATTTGGGCCAGAAGCCCTTCTTAGCATCACGAGATGGTCATCTCAGCGAGAGGCTGTTTTTGCCATCACCATAATCAGAGCTTCTCTATATACTCGCCCCAAGGATAAACACACGACTGTTTAAACTCGCTTTATAAGATCTGGCTGTGGACGCCACAGCTGGGAGGGCCAATTTTCTGGTCCCTTCACCTGTGGACAGAAACGCTGGCCTGTTCTGATTTGGCTGTTTTGGACTTGCCAGACAAGACTGGGTTTCAATTCGCGAGCGGCCCACTGCTCGAAAAGCAATCTCAACACTTTCCGGTCCCCATACGTTGTAGTTTGGATTTTGTGTTATCACCATGAAATAGTTTTATTTTAAAACTGCCATTCATTGCGAGACGATGCAAAAAAGCTTTGGCCATCCGTCAGGCTCATTTATCTACAGGCTGTTTGGTGTAAAACACACACTCAGCCTCGGGCATGTTCAGAGTGCTGTGAATTTCTCACCTGCCTGGTGTGACCGCTGGCACTCATATACTCATTATTGGAGATGTCTTAAACAAGGATTGATTTTTTTTTCAACTTGTTTAGGGATGCTGTCATATGCTGTTGATGTTGTTTAGGGATGCTGTCATTCGTCTTATTTTGAAATAAAAAATATTGCATATTCCTTTGTTAGACCAAAGAAAAAATGTCAATATATCAGATTTAATTTTATATCTGTGGATTATTATAAATTATTTCAACTTCTGTCAATGAATTATGTTGGCCTTTTATTTTATTTAGTCCCTAAAACATGAGATCCAACCAAAATTTCTTCTAAAAGTGAAAAAATAAAAAATAGAAATAGCCTTGATATTTCCGAAATATGATAGAAAACGTATGTTTTGTTGGAAAAAAAAATAAATGTATATTTTTATTATTTTTATCTCTTTTTCTTTTCATTAAACAATTGTATTTGTATTGCTTAAAGGTGATATATTAACTGAACTTTTTCTGTTGAGTTTGATATGCCCTGCATACTAATGAAGCATTTTTTGCAGAAGTACACAAAGTTGATTGAAATGCAAAGGCCTGACTGTCTAAAATTAACTTGAGCTCTGCAGCTATATTTCCTGTTAGCAGAGATGGATTTAAAACGAACACAGAATATTTGTAGTTAAGAAGTCTCATGCTTTTAACGTTGTGCAGAGAATTTGTAAAGAGGATGTATGTATGGATGCGGCCAACAGGGGACTGGAGATAGATTGACAAGTGATGATTTCCACTGAACTCCACCAGTCAGCTGCATATAAAAGCTGGAGTCAGGAAATGAAAACTGTTGTGCACCTCCTGAACTCTTGCATTGCATTGAGGATACCAGAATTCTGTGAATGAAGTTATTAATTTGTATACAATAAATTACTAATATTTTTGGCATTGAATAAAACCCTCTCCTGACCTTTTTTATTGAACATGCATGGCATTGATTAAATATTCCAACTGTTTCTCTGTTCTCAGAGATTTCAATATGATGCCAAATATTTATCATCATACACTATGGCAAAAGTCTTGTCCCCTATCCAAGTTTTAGGAACAACAAATAATACCTTGACTTTTAGTTGATCATTTAGTATCAGAAGTGGCTTATATAAAAGGCAAAGGCCTCTAGATTACACTTATTTTACCAAAGTAAAAAATATAATCATGCCTTGATTTTTAATTAGTTAATTAGGACAGTTAGGACCATTATCAATATTCGGCTGACATCGTGGTACAGTGGGTAGCGCTGCTGTCGCCTCACAACAAGAAAGTGGCTGGTTCAAGCCTCAGCTGGGTCACTTGGCTGGGTCATGTTCTCCCCATATTTGCGTGGGTTTTCTCCAGGTGCTGTGGTTTCTTCCACAGTCCAAAGACATGCTCTATAGGTGAACTGGGGAAGCAAAATTGTCCATATGCTTGTGTGTAATTGTGAGTGTCTGGGGGATTTCCAGTGATGGGTTGCAGCTGGAAGGGCATTCTCTACTTAAAACATGCTTGATAAGTTGGCGGTTCATTCTGCTGTGGCAACCCCTGATTAATAAAGGGACTAAGCTGAATAGAAAATGAATGAATGAATGAATGATCAATATTCATTTGAACTTTTTTTGCTAGACACCGAAAAACAGCACAGACTGAAGTTTAATCCACTGCAATCCTAATGGTCACGCTTTGTACACACAGCTCTCAAAGCACCAGCACTGTCTTGTAGCGTCACTTCATCAGCGAACAGAGGATGAATGGACAGAGGACATACTGTCAATGAGTGTGTGAATATTCTGGGGGAAAAAAAATGCCTTTATTTTTAGTTTTCCAGTTCGTTCTGCAATCTTTTGACGTAGAAGAGAAGTCTTGACGTCCACCCGTCCCAATACGTAAGTGAGTCTTCTCTGTGTGTCTTTTCTCTCTTTCTCTCTCATCTCTCTCACACACACACTTGTAAAACAGGGGGTTAGGGGTTGGACCACAGGGAGGGGTGTGTCTCTATAAGACGACCGAGCAACAGCATCCTCTTAGGAAACAAACAGAAGCTGGCGAAAGGAGAATATAAACGCCTCTATATTCAGCAGATCTGCTCAGGACAGGTGCCTGAACCACACACAGCTCAGGTAAGAGGAGAAACTCTTCAGATCAATTTATTTAGATATCATTGCATGATTATAACTACTGATTGTTTGTAGCGTAAAGTGTGAAATTTAATTTCCCCCCTGAATTTAAAGTGATCACTCATTAACTCTCATGTCTTTCCGAACACTAAATGATTTGCTTTGTTCAGCACTCTTAAAAATAAAATGTTATTTATTGGGATTGATGGTTCCATGGGGAATCTTTAACATCAATGGACTCTTTTCGTTGTAAAAATCCTCCTTTGAATGTTCCTTTGAAGAACTTTTCACTAAAAGCTTCCTAGTAACTTTATTTGTGCTTCCTAGTGTTTTATTAAAAAACCTAACATAGAGTCAAAAATTGTAGCCCTCATCTTAAATTTGTATTTTTTTTTTCAAATGTGTTGAGTGCTGTTGAATAGAGCAAGGAATTCTTTTAACAGTCTTTCCTATAATATATTTATACTTACAGTTGAAGCTAGAATTATTAGCCCCCCTTTGATTTTTTTTTTCATTTTTAAATATTTCGCAAATGATGTTTAACAGGGAAAGAAAATTTACACAGTATGTCTGAAAAAAAACTTTCTTCTGAAGAAAGTCTTATTTGCTTTATTTCGGCTAAAATAAAAGAAGTTTTAAATTTTTTTAAACCATTTTAAGGGTCAAAATTATTATCCACTTTAAGCTTTTTATTTCGATAGTCTACAGAACAAAACATCGTTTGCCTAACATCCTAACCTGTCTAGTTAACCTCAATAATCTAGTTAAGCCTTTAAATGTCACTTTAAGCTGTATAGTGTCTTGAAAAATATCTACTCAAATATTATTTACTGTCATTATGGCAAAGATAAAATAAATCAGTTATTAGAGGTGAGTTATTAAAACTATTATGTTGAGAAATGTGTTTAGGAAATCTTAAACAGAAACTGGGGGGGGGGGGGGTAAACAGGGGGGCTAGTAATTCAAGGGGTTTAATAATTATGATTGCAACTGTATAAAAATATATCATATTCCTAAAATAAATATTATACATCCATTAGTTTGGTTTGAATAAAAGCCTTTTTTAATTGTTAAAAACATTTTTTAGGGCCGATGTTATTAGCCCCCTCAAGGATTTTTTTTTTCAATTGGCTACGGAACAAAACGGTATTATCCAATAATGCCTAGTTAACCTAATAACCTAGTTGAGCCTTTAAATTGCATTTTAAGCTGAAAACTAGTGATTATAGAATTATTAACCTCCTGAATTATTAGCCCCACTATTATTTTTTCCCCCCAATTTCTATTTAACGGAGAGATTATTTTTCAACACATTTCTAAACATAATAGTTTTAATAACTCATCTCTAATAACTGATTTATTTGATCTTTGCTATGATGACAGCAAATAATATTTGACTAGATATTTTTCAAGACACTTCTATACACTTCTATGACATTTAAAGGTTTAACTAGGTTAATTAGGTTAACTAGGCAGGTTAGGGTAATTAGGCAAGTTATTGTATAACGATGGTTTGTTCTGTAGCCTATAGAAAAAAATGTTAGCTTAAAGGGGCTAATAATTTTGACATTAAAATGGTTTTGTAAAAAAATGAAAAACTGCTTTTATTCTTGCCGAAACAAAACAATTAAGACTTACTCCAGAAGAAACAAAACAATATTATCAGACATACTGTAAAAATGTCCTTGCTCTGTTAAACATAATTTGGGAAATATTTAAAAAAGAAAAAAAAATCAAAGGGGAGCTAATACTTCTGACTCCAACCGTATAATGATGCTTCACAGCTGTTATTTGTCCTCTGAATCCTATCTTTGTGAGTGACAGGGCTGTATTTTTCACTTTGCTCTCATAATTGTGTCATCGATTGATGCATACAGTGGTGAAATCAATGCATCTCCATACAGGGGATAACCCAGACTACTATAAACTATATTTAAGTTTGAAAGAAATTTACTGTACTCGTGGGTGTATCAGTCAGCTAAGGAGAATATTGGCTGCATTGTGAAATATTTTTTGAAAAGGAGATGAGTTTTCGTGCACAAAATACTGGGCACCTGCTCCGTGCATGGGTCATTACCATGCAGTCTTCTGTGGCCAGGATATATAAATATCTTCAGCATTTAGTGCTTTATACTGACATAATTGTTTGATATCATTTTAAAACAGCCATTCTAAATTTGACTATAAAAACTGCACTGGATGTAATTCTGCTTTGGATAATCAAAAAGTGACTTCTCATATCTGTTGTATCGATGCTAAAAGATTAATTGGAACTGAGCTTGTAACAACTGTGGTTATAATTATAAATAAAACAGATGCAAAAAATATAGTATTGTTAATATACAATAAACACCTGGCTGACTTACAAATCAACGATAAGTCTTTTGAAACAAAGTGCTGTTTTATTTTAGGATCTGTTTTTGTATGTCTTGTATGTTTTGTATGTCAGATTTACTTTGTTACTCTTAAAAATAACTATGATAAATCAACATGTTAGATAATATAAATATAAATATTTGTGCTAATATGGGTATTGGCAGAATTTAAGAATAGTCAGATTTATTCCTAAGAGGCCCTGAGGCGAATGTATCGGCTCATCCGAACCAATTCACAGCAAAGTCTTAACCACTGTGAAATTGAGTCCTGATTAGCTGTCCTGGCGGTGCTGTAAATAATCTAAGCAAAAAAAATGAGCACAAGAATAACAGCATAATCACAGCTAATAGAAACATTTATCAAATTGAATTGATAATCTGGTTTCATAATAAAAGATTAAGTAATCTAATAAACGTTATATAAAATGCACATACAGTATATCTGCTGCATAAAGAACATTATAATTATAGACCAGCATACATTAAAAATGGGACATTAAAAAACTTGCAATTAATTGTTTTATCTGTATATTTGTAAAATGAACTATTTATATTTAAAAAAAAACTATTTTCTTTGCTTTAGTTTTTTTAAATATTATATACAGTTGAAGTCAGAATTGTTAAATCCTTTGAATTATTAGCCTCCTCATTTGAAGATTTTTTCCAACACATTTCTTAAGGGAATAGTTTTAATAACTCATTTCTAAATTTTCAAGACACTTTTATACAGCTTAAGTGACATTTAAAGGCTTAACTAGGTTATTTAGATTAACTAGGCAAGTTAGGGTAATTAGGCAAGTTATTGTATAACTTTTAACATTTAAAAAAAAAATCAAAAACTGCTTTTATTCTAGCCAAAATAAAACAAATAAGACTTTCTCCAGAAGAACAAATATTATCAGACTTACTGTGAAAATTTCCTTGCTCTGTTAAACATCGTTTGGAAAACATTTTAAAAAAGAAAAAAAAATCACCTGTATATAAAATCCTGCTTCATTAAAAGTAAAATAAAACAACAATTTAATAATAAATAAAATAATTTAATAATAAATAAAATAATAACTTTACATTTTTGTTTTGCATTGCATACTCATAAAAACAAGTGATTAAGATAATAGTAAAAATAATATGTAATATTTACCAGGGTTTCTAAAGGTTTCATCAAGTCAAATTTAAGACTTTTAAAGACCCTTTTAAGACCATTAAGAATGAAATTTTAGACTTATGCAGGGTGAAGTTTATTTCTAATGGCTTGATATTGTGGAATCATGTAATTGTTTTGGGGTTGTTTAGTTTTCTGATTAGGGAATTTAATTTGGAGAATTTGCTGTAAAGAATGTGTAACAGCTGTTGTGAATGTATCTCTTTGCAATAAAAACCTTAAATATAAAAAATAAGGTTTTATTGAGATGTATTGTTGATGATTGGATAGATGTCGATATGGATTTAGGTGAAATTAAGACTTTTTAAAGCCTAAAATTTTGTTTTTTAAATGTAAAACATTTTAAGACTTTTTAAGGCCCTAATTTACATTATTTTATTACATTCCAAGTAGTCTCTGTTGATTTTTACTCACTTTTTCAGATATTTCAAAGCATCATGGATATTTGATGAACTATAATGAATTGTTAGTGTGAAGGACTGCACCACAGAATGATTTCAATCCTCAAGTTAGGATTCAATAATGCAGATCAAAGAATTATTTTTGCATCACAAGCATGAAAATAACCTTAATCTTTTTTTTGATTGTATAATTCTGAATATCATGAGCATCACTGCACAGCTCACCCTGACCGCGGCATTAAAGTGTGGTGAATCAATCCACCTCAGCTATTGATCATTTCTTATTAAAATATATAGTGTTAAAAGAGTTGTGGTTGTCGAGGGAGCGCTGCATTGAATCTGTGCTTGCGTTTATCTGCTTGTGAGTCTGTACAAATGTTTGTCTTTGACCTTCATGGGCTTCAGCGGCCCTGCTGAGGCATGCAGGTGAACAAAGTGTGCCACACTCTATTCTTTCCCCCCTCATTTCCTTTTATCTCACCTGTCCATCATTCTGACAGTGTGCCGTCAATGTGGAGTCAGATATTCGGGAGAAATTTCAACAAAGTCTCAAACTTTGCTCAGGTTGGCCATGATAACCAAAATCTGTAAATCAGACATCTGAAATCACTATATTAAGTCATTAGTTTCATCCAAATTAAATTGTATACTTTGCTCAGCATGTACGAGTACACACCCTTATAAATCTCTCATCATTAATATTTCCTATAGAAAGCTTTACAATATTATATTTGTGCATATACATTAGTTTAGTCAGCACTGAAGCCAAATCTGGAGCTAATCTAACAAAATAGCTTACAATAATGGTTCAAAAATTAGTAGGCCAAATTTATATTTTAGGGAAAAATGTTAAACAACATTTTCAAAAAGAGGAAAAATCAAGAGAAGCAAAAAACATATAACATTTTGATGAAATTTTGAACTTTGTAATTTTTTTTTTTGCAATATTTTTCATGAATTAAATGTATCATCTTTCCATTTCAAAAGATGTTTTGTGACTAATATATTTTCCTAATAAATATATCTGTTTAATAAATTTGTTTTGTTCAAATGCACCAAAATATA